CTGTTGCAAGGTTTGAAATGACCCAAATGTCCAGCCATCGGGGATGGTCAAACCGCTCCGGGCACATTCACGCCAGCAGTTGTTACACAGCTGCAAAAAAAAAAAAAAAGGAGTACGTTCTCGAGGTTACCGAGATGGGATGGTCTTAAAAAGAAATGGTGAGGTGGAAAACAGATTTGTTAAAGCCAGGTGTACAAGAGCCTCGACTGGGCTCTCTGGGGATGGTAAAGACGGGAAACTGGGACATCTGCTTGTTCAGGAAACACATAAAGAATGTGGAAAAGACCGCCCCCCCCCCTCAAGGGAGAAACTTCTTGCTAGCTATACTTTTGCATGTAAAATATGTTGGTTTTCATTTTCTTGTAAAATATGTTAGTGATATGGACAGGTTGTCATTGCTGGAGCCAGCAGGCAGGCTCTGGTTCATGGTGACCCTGTGCACAGCAGAAGGGAGCGCGCCCGGCCCTGCGCCATCTCCCACCTCTGCCATGTTGGAGCCGCCGTGTGCATCACCCAGAGGCTCCCTCCTCTCCAAAGTAGTTGAGGAAAGGTGTTCACAGATTTATCTTCCCTGGAGACCCTGTGCGGATTGCCTTTCGGTCTGCTTATCTCCAAAAACCTAAGCTCGCCGCCTTTGAGTTGATTCTGACCCCTAGGGACTCTCTAGGACAGGGTAAAACGGGCCCTGTGGGTTTCTGAGACGGTCACTCTTGAAGACACTAGACAGCCTTGTCTTTCTCCCATGGCGCAGCTGGTGGTTTGGAACTGCTGACCTTGGGGTTCACAAGCCAACACGTGACCACTAGGCCACCAGGGCTCCTTTCCGTTCATCTAGCAACCTCCAAAATCCGGTCTCGGGAGATGGGTTTGATTGTCAGCCTTTCAGTGCTTCCTAAGTGTCCTGGAACACACTGGATGTGACCGGCTCCCCCGGAAAGACTCTTGATCAACAGGGCACATCCATGGGCACAATTGGTCTCTCTATTCACCGGGGGCAACAGAGGAAGGAGAGTCAGGCTAAAGGCCTCCCTGAACAGCTGCCTCTGTTGCCACATGACCAATGACCTGGCTGTTGCCTGGCTACCAGTACAGAACATTTAGATCAAAGAATCTGAAGAAGAACCTACATCAAGTGGGGAGAAGTGCAGAACAGAATGTCAAATGCCCATGACTTTCCAGAGTCAAGGAGGATGGGTGAACCTCTGAAACTGTTGTCCTGGGATGATCTTTAAACCTTAAAACAAAAATGCCCCCTAGAGGGAGGGGAAGAAAACAAAAAAGAGCCGATACCAAGGGCTCAAGTAGAAAGAACCTATTTTTAAAATGAGGATGGCAACTATGTACAAATCTGCATGACACCATGGATGGAAGGATGGATGGATTGTGATAGGAGTTGTAAGAGCCCCTCAATAAAATGTTGTTTTTTTTTAATGTCCCCTAAAGGCTGCTTAAAACAGAACAAGACTTTAGCTTGACTGGTTTAAAAACAAAAAAAAGGCCCTTTGAGGGTGTGCCCTTAAAAATGACAGTAAGACTTTTTATTGTGAATCAGGTGAAGGTTGACAAAGCAGGCGACCAATGCCATCTTCAACACCTCACCCAACATCCCAGCGTCTCACCCGGTTGCACCCTGTTCTGCCCTTTTTCCTCTTGTTGAATATCATCTTCCCCTGCGGCCAAGTTATGGCCAGGCAACGCTCGAGCCAAAATACAAACTTGAGTCTATCCCACCCAAACGATGAGAACAGCTCAAGAACAGATTTGCTGCACCAAACACGGATGACAGGACACCGGACGGGCTGTGGGAGGACATCAAGAGCATCATGCAAGAAGAGAGCAAAAAGGTCATTCAAAAGACAGGAAAGAAAGAAAGGATCGATGTGGACTCCAGAAGAGACTCTGAAATGTGCTCTCCATCAGAGTCAGTAAGGTCAATGGAAGAAATGATGAGGTCAAAGGCTAGAAAAGAAAAATGTCAAAGGGCAGCTCGAGAAGACAAAGTAAAGTTCTGTCATGAAATGTGCAAAGACGTGGAGTTAGAAAACCACATGGGAAGGGCATGCTGGCATAGCTTCAACTGAAAGAACCAAAGGAAAAATTCAAACCCTGAGTTGCCATGTTGAAAGATTCTATGGGGCAAAACATTGAATGATGCAGGAAGCATCAAAAGAAGATGGGAGGAATGCACAGAGTCACTGTACCTTTGGGAACTAGTCGGCATTCTGCCATTTCAGGAGGAAGCAGATGAGCAAGAATCAGTGGTACTGAAGGAACAAGTTCAAGCTCCACTGAAAACAAGGCTTCAGGAATTGATGGAATACCAACTGAAATGTTTCAACAAGCCGATGAAACCCTGGAAGAACTCACTCATCTATGACAGGAAATAGGGAAGACAGCTACATCACCAATTGACTGGAAGAGATTCATATTTGTAACCAAGCCCAAAGAAAGGTGACCTAATGGAATGCTCAAATTACAGAGCAATAGCATGAATGTCACATGCAAGTAAAATTTTGCTAACAATCCTCCAATACATTGACAGGTGTCAGAAGTTTGGGCTGGATTTAGAAGAGGACTTGGAACAAGGGGATATCATTGCTGACGTCAGATGGATCTTGGCTATAAGCCATAAGCCTTACATAAGAACACGAGAAAGGTGTTGACTTGTGTTTTATTGACGATACTAAGTCATGCAACTATGTGGACCTTAACAAACGACGGATAGGCTCGAGAAGAATGGGTCTCCCAGAACACTGCACTGTGCTCGTGCAGAACTTGTACATAGATCAAGAGGCAGTGGTGTGAACAGAACATGAGAAGGCTGCATGGTTGAAAAACAAGAAAGGTATGCGTCAGGGTTGTGTCTTCTCACCTGTACTGACTTAATCTTTACGCTGCACAAATCATCAGAGAGTCTGGCTTAGATGAAGCAGAACGCAGCATCAGGATTGGAGGAAGGCTTATTAACAAGCTTCAGTTTGCAGCTGGCACAGCCTTGCTTGCTGAGAGCGAGGAGGACTTGACGCACTTGCTGATGAAGATCAAGGAGTGCAGCCTTCAGCATGGAGCACAACTCAACGTAAAGAGGACTAACGTCCTCACAACTGGACCAGGAGACACCATGATACACGGGGAAAAGATTGAAGGATTTAATCTTTCTTGGATCCACAATCAGTGCTCACGGAAGCAGCAGTCAAGAGATCAAACGCATTGCATGGGGTAAATCCACTGCATGATGTAGTATTAAATTTTAAAAATTGGTGCTGGGGGAGGTGGGGGGCCAGCCCCCACCCGCTAATACTCCTATTACTACTACTCGAATTCAGTAATACTACTTCTGGGTTCAGTAATGCACAATCGTACGGTTGAGATATATAAGTATTATATTAAAGTCATCGAGAGCATGAGAGATTAATACAATAATACAGTCAGACACGTTACATGGCAACATTGCTCACCTCAGCCCAGCTTAGTGGTCCACGTGGAGAGAGGGGGAAGGGAAGGAGGATAAGGGAACAAGGGAGAGGGGGAAGAGTCAGGGAGGTCAGAGTCTGAGAAGTCCGAGTCCGAGTGCTCTATATTGCTGACTCACGCCTATATAACTTTTGGGGGCATGCCAGCCCACTAATTACAGGTAGAGACATACGGTCACAGGGAGGGGTTACACTATAGGGTACCCAGTAATGAGAGGGTGGTCTAGGGTGGTCTCTGGGTCTCCATAGGAACCATTATCAGAAGGGTGCAAACCCCTCCTACAGGAACCAAGCTAATTGCCTTGGGCTCCAGAGAGAGGTAACCCATTGTCTCTAGCAGCAAGGAGTCAGGCTAGTGCAGCCTGGCAACTGATTGCCTTCAGGGAAGGGAATGCCTGCGTATCTGACCTCCCCCCACAGCATGAGACCTCTTTAAAGTGTTGAAAAGCGAGGGTGTTACTTTGGGGACCCCTGACCCTGTTATTCTCCATTGTCTCCTATGCATGTGACACTTGGACATTGAATAAGGACGACTGAAGAAGAGTCTATTCCTTGGAATTAGGGTGCTGGAGGAGGATGTTGAAAGTACCACGGACTTTCAAAGGAAAACCAGATCTCTCCTGGAAGAAGCACAGCCAGAAGGCTCCTCAGAGGCAAGGATGGCAAGACTTGGTCTCACGTCCTTTGAACATGCTATCAGGAGAGTCCCTGGAGAAAGACTTCCTGCTCGGTCAACGTGGAGGGGCAGTGAAAGGGAGGAAGACCCTCGGCAAGACAGACTGACACCGCGGCAATACCAATAGGCTCAAACATAAGAACAATTGTGAGGATGGTACAGGACTGGACCCTGTTTCCTTCTGTTACACAAAGGGTTGCTATGAGTCGGAACCAGCCCAATGGCACCTCACTACAGCACGGCACTTCAGAGACGTGCAGAGTTATACAGCAATTGGATTCTGCTGCCTGCCGGTCAACACACATGCTGGCCTATGGTCAACCTATAGACAGGGCAGCACAGCACAGACACGTGCCAGTAACATGGGTCTGATGACTATGAAGACACGTGTGAGAGGCTATGTAAGTATGTCCTGCACACCTGGCAGCACAGCGCTTTGTTTACATGCAGTCATACGCACGGATGACCCTTCTGTAAGAGGTGTGAGAGCCACATGTTGTCAGGGGAGTGGTTGTGTTCACTACATCCTGTGCTCCAATCAGGATTCCTGAACTCCATTATAACCTCACGGGACCAGGGGGGACGTGGAGGCGACGGGACGTTGCCTGCAGGTTGCGATTTGGTGCAGGGCAGTATGTACACACAGAGCCAGGTAAACACCTGGCTCGATTTCTGTCGGATATCCTGACGAAGAAGAGGCCAGCTTACACAAGAACCCTGCCCGCCCAGCCCCCATTTGGCACAGGGCTTGGGAAGGATCTCAGTAGGGTTCTCTCCCAGGCTGGGGGGCTGCAGTGGGTGTGGGGTCAAGTGTCCCCCTTTCCCGGAGACCAGAAGTGAACGAACAGGAAGAAATGGAGAGAACCTTTAATCAGAAACCTCAGGTAAGGACACACGGTGGGAGGTGAGGGTGTCCCCAACCCTGATGAACAGAGCTCAGCACCCCCAGCTTTTCTCCACAAAGCACGCCAATTGGGGGAGTGGGGTACTGACCATGGAGAACTCCTTTTGCTCAAACCACACTCCAAAGGCTTCTTGGGCACCTGCCTCTCTTGGGGTCCAGCCTAAGGGGGCTTTTCTGTTCCCACGAGCTCCTTGGTCATCGGCTGGGGTCCCCCCAGGGCCATCTGCTCGCCCACCAGGCCCGCAGCAGAGTTGTTTCTGTCTGGAGTCTTCCAGAAGTCCAGGCCCATATTCACACAGTGGACGTCTCCCCCCTCGAGGTAGTGGGCTTCCGGGGGGCGGGGCCAGCCGTGGTTGCCAGTGACCCAGAGAGTCCGGAGGTGGTGAAGGAGAGTCTTTGAGACCCGAGGAAGGTCCCAGGGGTCTCTGAGCGGCTGGGGCTGGTCGTGGAAAGTGTAGATGCTTCAGCCAGGGTGGTGGCAGGCCGAGAAGGCCACCTGGACACCGCCCAGGTCTCAGGAGCAGAGAAGGGGGACCAAGGAGCCCCCGGAGAGGCAGGAGGTAGTGTGGAGGTTCCTGGAGGGGTGGAGGGTCCTGAGGAGACCTCGGGCTTCCCTGGGAATGTACCTCCAGGCCCCAACAAGGGTGCAGGTGAGACCGGGCCTCCCGAGGGGTCCGAGGGTGAACGCTGAACGGTGGACACATTGGTCCTTAAGAGGAGCTGGAAGAGAGAGCGTGCTGGCCTCTGAGAGGAAGTGGCCAGGGGCCCCGGGCAGGCGTCGCAGCTGACAGCACTCGGGGGGGCCTCTGTGTGCTCATGGGAGCTCTGGGCCGCTCTGCTGGACTCCACATCTCCGTGAAACGCAGGCTTCAGGCCTCCTCCTGGAGGGAATGGGGACTCTGGAGGGTGGAAAGAGACGGGGGAGGCGAGGGGCTGAGTGCCCGGCTTGGAGCCACCTCCTGCCTCCAGCAGGAAGTCAGAGCGGCCCAGCCAGCTCGGTCCTGTGTGACCTGGGCTGCAGCACCCAGAGCTCCTCTGGGTCCCCCTTTACTCTTCTGTGAAATGGGCATCAAACAATGACAAGCAGAGCTGCACCATGGGTCAAGGGGGAGCGGTGTGGCGGTCCCCCCCACCCTGCCTCTCAGAGCCTGGCTTCCCCACAGCCAGCCCTGCACCTGGACAGAGGCTTACAAGCAGAAGATGACGTGCCAACAGCCAGGGCCCATTACCTGGGCAGGAGGCACAGCAGTCCTTGGGGGCCGTGCGGGGGTCTGCGCAGTCCTGAGGGCAGGGGGCCTGCTCACAGCTCACCTCTCCCAGCTGGGGAAGCAAAGGATGCATGAATCCCACGGCAGCACGCCCCCCACCCCCCCAGCAATGGGGCCCCCACCTAGGTCCCGGGGCAGAGATGGCATCATGGCTCAGGCAGGACCTGAGAAGCCAAGCGTGTGGGGTGTGGGTGACCTTAAAGAAACCACTCTCCACCCCCCACCCCCATGCCCTGGCCTTCCAGAAAGATGGAGAATATTCCAACACCAGAGACATTCTAGCACAGCGGTTCTGAACCTGTGGGTTATGACCCCTTTGGGGGTCAAACAACCCTCTCACCAGGGGTCGCCCGATTCATAACGGTAGCAAAACGACAGTGATGAAATAGCAACGAAAATAATTTTATGGTTGGGGGGCTCACGACAACATGAGGAACTGTATGTAAGGGTCGTGGCATTAGGGAAGGTTGAGAACTACTGTTTGGGGTTAGTTTTTTTTAAACATCATTTTATTGGGGGCTCATACAACTCTTATCACAATCCAGACACACATCCATTGTGTCAAGCACATTTGTACATTTGTTGGCATCATCATTCTAAAACATTTCCTTTCCACTTGAGCCCTTGGTATCAGCTCCTCATTTTCCCCCTCCCTCCCCACAACCTCTCCCTCTCGAACCCTTGATCATGTATAAATGATTATGGTTTTGTGGGAACCACTGTTCTAGGAGGCCATTGTGCATGGAGAATGGCTGGAGGAAAGGTTCCTGCTGCCTAATGCTTTTAATTCCACTGACTACTGATGGCGAGGCCGGAGGTGTCAGGCCACCCCGGAGTGCCTCGGAATAAAGGCCTGGCAATCCACTTCCAAAAAAACAGCCCCTGAAGCCCCTTGGGGCCCTGTGCTCTCTGAAAGGGGGGGGGGGTGCGGAGCCTCGAGTCAGCCCACTCAATGGTAAAAGGCGGGTGCTCTTTCTAGTTTGTTTGTCTCAAGGTATTGAAAGGACAGACACAGCTGCCCCAGGGCCAGCTCACCTGGCAGGTGCACCGGGTGCAGGGCTCATCATCCAAGGTGAACACCTGGCCGTTGGCCACCTTCCTTCCCTCGTAGTTGCAGTCTGTGGAGGCAGAGGAGACAGGGCGGTGAGGACCAGGCCCCCTGGAGTGTGGGCAGGGGAGCCCTGGTCCCACTCACCTCGGCACACCGGACAGCACTCCCCGTCGGGGTGGAAGGGGTAAGTGCAGGTGATGGGGCAGTCCACGGGCGAGCAGGCCACCGAGCCCAGCTGCAGGGCAGAGAACAGAGGACAGGACACTCTGGGAGGCCGAGGGACCCTTGGGAAGATCCAGGACATCAAGCCACGATTGTCCGTCACAACCACCAAGGGCTGGGACTGCTCACCAGAGCCTAGCTATTGTCCCCGTATAAGCTGCTGGCCACCGGGCTGGACTGCCCAGGAAGGAAAGGTGGGCGGCGACCACCAAGAGGGAGGAGGACCTGGAGCCGGAGCTCCAGAAGCAGGTGGCCATGGATGAGCAGGGGACCACAGGGGTCACTCTGAGGCCACAGGGGATGTTGACTCTGCATGTCTCAACCTCCCTGTAGACCTTGTCCCCTTGCCTGCCCACACCCGACAGGGGCCAGGCCAGCACAGATGACTACTCTCACACGTACCCCCTGCGGCCAGGAGCCCTGGCAAGCCCTTAGCACTTGTAGCAAGAAAGACTCCTTTCTCTCTTGAACACTGGATCCTAGGGTTCTCTAGCCCGGGTGTAGCGCTGCAGGATGCACCTCCCAGAGGCCGAGTGCCAGGTTTGGACCCACGGAATTGCTATCAACTAGGAGCCCTGGGAGCATCGCGGTCCTGAGTTGGGCTGCTAAGCACAATGTTAGCAGTTCAAGACCACCATCCACTATTTGGGAGCAAGAAGAGGCTTCCCATCAAGAGTGACAGTCTCGGAAACCCACAAGGGCATCTTGACCTTGTCCTAGAGGGTCGCTATGAGTCAGCATCAACCTGATAGCAGTGAGTTTGGGTTGATTTTTTTTGGCGCTGATATCGTGAGCAGAGAGTGGGCTGGTCCAGTACCGGCCGAAAGGTTGGTGGTTTGAATCCACCCAAAGGTGTCTCAGAAGACAGGCTGGATGCTCTGCCCCCGGGGGATCTTGACCTTGGAAAACCTGAGGAGCCACTCTTGTGTCAGCGCGCACAGACTAGACTGGACTTGGCCACAAACAAGAGCCATCCTGACAACGCACAGGGTCTCTGTGCCACCATCTTTCTTACCTGAAAGACAGAGGTGAGGGTGGTGCCGACCTCCGGCACATCTGATTTACCAAAGGTAAAAGGCTAGAAAACAGAGTGCCAGGAGGCTCGATAATGCAAGTGCATCGAGGCGATCCTGATATAGAACCGAACCTCAGATTTTCATGAAAACCAGACTTTCTGGAGCCATGGAGGGTGGATGCACCCTCACCGATTGCCCTGAGATCGTCTTTAAACCCTAAACATTTGACCAAGAAATCCCAAGGTCTTCTTTAGACCAGAAAGACCAAACTGTCACCGAATCAATGCAGACTCATGGTGACCCTGCAGGGCAGGGTAGAACTGGCCCTGTGGGCTTCCAAGACTGTCACTCTTTATGGGAGTTGCTTTTCTCTGGAGAAGCCTCCTGGTGGTTTTGAACTGCAGACCTTGCGGTTAGCAGCCCAACACTGGGCCACCAGGGCTCCTCAAACCAAGCACTAGTTTAGCTTAATGTATAACAAGTGTCCGCTTGGGGCATCCTGCTCTTCAAAGATGTAGCAATTCAGACAGCAGCAACTCCAAGACTCGATTGGGTAGGAAGCTTAGGGAAGGGGTGGTGGTGGTGAGTGTTGCTTAAAGGGGCAGGAACCATGCAGCAAAGTTGTGTGAGAATAACACAATCAGTGTCACTCCAGGGTACAAGGAGAGACCACTGTTGTGGGGTATCCTCTGCAGGTATATTCTCAACAACAAGATGATGTTTTCTGAAAACATTTGGACAGAGACCCTGGGTCTGTGCTCCCCCCTCCACCTTCAGTGACAATCCGGGGGCCATGCTGTATAGGACGAGAAGCCCCCTCTCCACACCCCCTGGCAGCCGAGCAGGCTTCTGCCACCAGGTGAGAGCTGGCTACCTGGCCCTGGCACAGAGCTGCCTTGGGTAGGGTTGGTTGGGGACGGCTTTTGCCCTGGACCAGAGGCCGGCTGCCCTTGGAGGCCTGTGGGCTGACCTTGGGGCTGGGGAACAGATGTGGGTTGGGGGAGGGGAGGTGGGTGGTCTGCAGACAGGTGTGGGACTCGGGGTCTGTACCAGGCAGATGCAGCTCAGACAGGGGTCCAGCACAGACGGGAAGGTCTCATTGTTGTAGAAGATTCTGCCTGTGTAGGTACAGCCTGTGGGAGGGGAAGCATACATAATGAGCTCAGGCATAGGGGGAGGTGCAGGGGAGGGGATCCCAAGCCAGGAGGGGCACTTGGTGAGCACGAGTGGGGGTGAGGGCACATGCAGTGAGCACCAGCAGGGGGTACAGGCCATGGGGAGCACTGAGGGTGGGAGTGGGAAGGGCACAAGTCAGGGGAGCATGCGGTGAGCACCAGCCAGGAGGGTGGCAGGCACTAGGCTCCTGGCCAGGGCCAAGGTCCGAGGCTTATCTGGAGAGTAAAGGTCAGCTTGTGCCTGCCCCGAGCTATCACCCAGCAGGGTAAGGTCTGGCTCGGGTGAGGGGACGGATCTTGTATGGAATTCAGTTCCAGCCGCAGAACCAGCCGACTTGGAAGAACCTGGAGTCTGTGGTGCTGGCCCTCTGGTTCTGAGCCCGGTGAGGGGAGGGGCTTCCCTCTCTACCCCTCACCAGGTGGGGTAGAGAGGGGACTCTCTAGTGAGGGACTCCACTTGTGTGCATCAAGCCATATTCCCAGCATCCTCTCTGCACCATACTGCAGCAAACCCATGGCCATGGCCCAACTCACACCCTGCCTTGTCTACACACTCCCCCGTCACTGCCCCTCTGATACCCCGGACACCTGGCGTCCAGGTACCTTGATGATAATGACTGTCTACTATTTGGTACAAACACAGGAGCCCTGGTGGAGCAGTGGTTAAACACCTAGCTGCTAACCACTAGGTTGGTGGTTCAAACCCACCAGCCGCTCCAGGAGAGAAAGCTGCAGCTTCCCTAAAGATTTCTGCCCTAGAAACCCGAAGAGGACAGTTCTACTCTGTCCTACAGGGTCCCCACGAAGCAGAATCGAATGGCTTCGATGGCAGTAGGTTTGGTTGAATGTCAGGGTTCAGGACAGAGAGTCCCTGGTGGGAGGAGGCAAACAGCTCCACTATGAACTGGGAGGTTGATGGTTCAAACCCACCCAAAAGAAAGGACTGGCGATCTGTGTCCATCAAGATCACAGACAAGAGAGCCCCCTGGAGCACAGTCCCCCCCATCACCCACAGAACTGCCCAGAGTCAGACCCGGCTCCACAACGCCGGGGGAGGGTCAGCTTCCCAGCTCAAACGGAAATAGCGGATGGGCCACAAGGGAAGTGTTCTATGAACAGCACGAACATACCATATTATAGGCCGGTTATGTGCTGAGTCCCTGGGTGGTGTGAAGGGCTAATGGAAAGGCTGGTGGTTCAAGTCCACCCCAAAGGGGCCGAGGAAGAAAGGCCCGGCTATCGCATTCTGCATCATCCGGCCCTGACAGCTGATGGAGCACAGCTCCACAGCGCTTCGCGGAGCAGAGGTGAGAGTGGCATTGCCACGGGTTAGCCGTGGGAATGAGCCCTTTGAAGAAATGGTCCGCCCCACCCCCAATTTTCTTGCTGTATTTTCTAACTTTTTCTACAATAAAATGCATGACCTTTGGAATAGGGTGAAAACAAAAACTATGGATGAAAAAATGAAGGCTCACTGTCACTTTCGCTGTGTCCCACCTTCCAGCAACTTGGTCTCCCCACCCCAGCCATGGGCTCTGCGTGTCTCACTATCTGCTGACGGCACCAAGTCAGGGCTCACCCTGAGCCCACTGCTTTCTCTCTCCAGGTCTCAGCTGCCCCATCTGTACAATGGGCCTGCCCCACGGGCTTATAGTAATGTACAAAGGAGCCTGGTGCAGGAGGAGCTCATATGGGGGGCTCCCTAGAGCCCAGCTCTAGGGGGTGGGGTTGTGCACCCCCCTTCTGCCCCCCACCCCCAGCAAGGAGATTACCTGCTGAGCAGTCTGGGCAGCACTGTCCAGGGATCCGAATGGGGTGAGGGCAGGAGTCCACGCAGTCTGTCCTTTTGCAGCTCACTGAGCCGTCTGCCTGAAGAGAGGAGGAGCTTCACCAAGATCCCACTTATGGCACCAGGCCCCCCACCCGCCCGACCACCCTCCAGCCTCCCAAAGGCAAGGACCATGCAAGCTGGCCAAGGCTTGTCCAAAAGCGTGCCCTGCTACCCTTCCAATAGATGGCAGTCACCCTGCAAAGAGGATCAGCTACTGGGGAAAAGTGGTGTGACCCTCCCCGTAAAGCACCACATATCTAAGAACATCAATGCCCAGGGGCCCGGCCCAAGGAAACGGGGCCCCCGGAACCCAAAAAGCAAAAACAAAAAAAGCCGCAACAACCCCCTCTATAAGCCTCCTAGCTTCTCTCAGACGCCCGGTTCACACCTAACCTACAGCCCACCATCAGGCATATTCTTTTTTATAGAAAAAGGCTCCATTGGACACGTCCAGTTCAGAAGGCCGGGGGTGGGGCGCAGTAATGCCACATAAGGACTGCCATACAAGGTTGCGTTCACCAATTGGAATGTTTTCGGGCGTTTCATGTTACTTTCTTAGGCTGGGAGGCCCCTGAATCAGCCATGCAGGAGGAAACAGGCACCGGATGTACTTTCCTCCGAGTCTAATCCCGATTGGACACGCCAGAGTAATGCGGGAGCCCTGGTAGTGCAGTGAGTTACACGTCGGGCTGCTAACCACAGGATCAGCAGTTCTAGACCACCAGCCTCTCTGAGGCAGAAAGATGAGGCTTTCTACTCCTGGGGAGAGTGACAGTCTCAGAAACCCACAGGAGCAGTTCCACCTATAGGGCTGCTCGGAGTCAGCATCGACTCAATGGCAATGAGTTGATGGTTATATGAAAGCCTTGGAAAGGAACCCTGGTGGCAGAGTCCTTTAGTGTTGGGCTGCAAACCCGAAGGTCAGAGGTTCGAACCCATGAGCCGCTCCACAGGAGAAAGACGAGGATGGATGCTTTTGTAAGTAAACTCTGTAAGGGTTTACTTCCCCAGAAGTCCTCTGGGGTAGCTCTCGTCCATCTCATAGGGTTGCTATGAGTCAGAATCGCCCTGATGGCCCATCAAGATACTTGACAGGCAAGCTTCCCACAGACTCATGCACACACGAACCAGCTGGGGGTGAAGAGGGTCTGAGCTCAAGGGTCCTGGTGTGTGGCCAAGGCTGCTGGCCCCGGGGGAGGACATTTTTGAGAAACACAATTCCCCAAGACTAAAAGGAGTGGCGGTTAAGCACTAGACCACTAACTGCCAGGGTGGCAAGCAGTCTGAACCCACCGAGACACTCTGCAGGAGAGAGGCCGGGCAGTGTGCTGGTACAGACGGCTGCCTAGAAAGCCCTCTGGGGCAGCTCTACCCAGTCCAGTGGAGCCACGCAAACCAAACTCCCTGCCATCGAGTCCATGCCAACTTACAGCCCCCCTAGAGGACAGGGTAGAACTGCCCAGTGTTTTCCGGAGACCTTAACTTTCTGAGCTAAGCCTTCACAGGAGTAAAGCTCTTCCTGGGAGTTTGAAAGCCCCATCTTTCTCCTGCAGAGTGACTGGTGGTTTTGAACTGCTGACCTTACAGATCGCAGCCCAACTTGTAACCACGCCACCGCCAGAGCTCCTAGGTCAGCATTGAAAATCAACTCCCCGGCACCTACCACCCACCAAAGGCTTAAACCATGACCCAAGCCATCGTTTCCAGCATCTCTGTGCTCTGACTAGAGGAGGGGACCCCGGCTTAGCCACGGCTAAGACGGTGAAGTCCGTGACTCGTGGTAATGAGGAACATTTGCAGTTTCACCCACACAGCCTGACTCTCTGGGCACCGGGCTGCCCCAGCCTCTTTACTCGCTCATTCAGGTCCTCGGGGTCCCTCTTCTGGGCCCCTCAACTCCTCTGGCCAGCAGCTCTTGACACAAGTCCAAGCTGGCACACAGTTCTTCAGGCAGACTGCCAAGGCCCGTCCTCCATGGACAGAATAGACAGGGGCTCGGCCCTCTCTGTAAAAATGGACCCCGAGAGAGCATGGGAGCGAGTCGGGCTGGGCTGGGTGGGGCGGGTAGGGTGCTCGGGCGCTGCCCTCTCAGAGAGGTGGGGAGGGGGGCAGGTGGAGTAGCTGAAGGCGCGCAGGCTGTCATTCACCTGGCAGATGCACAACTCACAAGGGTCACCAGGCGACCAGATCTGTCCAATCGGAAACTCAACGCCATTGTCATCCAGAGAGCAGCCTGGCCATGGGACGGTGGGGGAAAGGACAAGTGGGCAGAGGGCCCTGGTGCCCACTGGACCTGCAGCCCCACCTGCCAAGGGACCCAGACCCACACAACTCTGCCCCCACCCACTGGGTTGACGGGCCCCGGGTGTGCACAAAGCTACCTGCTGGATTCAGGGGTTACCCACAGATGCCCACTGGTGCCTATGTGTGGTGCCATTTACCTCCACACATGGGCTGGTCTTCACGAACATACTCACACAAACATGCCCTGACACACAACACACTCACACATAAACACAGCCTTACAGGTACACATAAGCTCCTGGACATGCATAGAAACACACACAGAGGCACAATTCACACGTGGGCACACACACCTAAATGCACACACATACAAATCACACCAACACACACTTACAGGTTCATACACACTCATACAAACACATTCACACATGGACACAACTCACATATACAGACACACAGACATACACATGTGGATGCAAACACACAGGCACCCACTCACACACAAATACAGCTGACACACATGTACATACATGGACACAAACACACAGACACATGCATGTGCACAAATCAGATATAACTCACCCACAGACACACATGTACACAGCAGACACACACACACACAAGACCCACACAGAGGTGTACAAAACCATGACCACACGTATATACACACAGAGACAGTTGCAAATGCCTCCACAATCAGATACTCACAGACACACACTCACACACACAGATATACTCACACTCACAAATACAGCTGACAAACATGTCCAAACACAGACATGTGCACAATCATATACAACTCACCCACAGAAACACATGTACACACAGATACATACACACACAAGGCCCACGCAGACATGTCTACATGTCTACACAACCTGGACCACCCGAATGGACATACACGGGCACACAGTTACACATACCTATACAATCACAGACTCACAGACACACACAGATACACTCACACAGACCCAACTCCCGGCCTCAGTGGATGAATGAAGCCTGGCCTCTCTGCTCACGGGCCCCCTACTGGGTTGGTGCAGCCGGGGCGCAGGGCTGGGTGGCCCCACCTGCTATGGGTGTGGCTTCCCGGCAGGTGAAGCAGCACTGGCCAGGGCCTAGCCACCACTCCTCGCGGGGGCAGTCCAGCTCCGGGCATGGCATGAAGGAGCACTCAACCTCCCCGTCCTGGAAGAGAGTCATGGGCCAAGGGCGGGCTAAGAGGGGGCTAGCGGGCCACTTGCCCTGCACCCCAAAGGAAAAGTCTCCAGGGAGCAGAAGACTGAGGAGTGAAGCTGGGGAGCAACCCACGGATTTGCTACGTGTCCAGCCCTGCTGGGGCCCACATGGCCACAGCTCCAGTCAGCCCCCAGCTCCTGCCCCCCGCCCCAACACACTCACTCTATAGCCAGAGAATGGCTCATCTCTGACCAATCACACCAGCCGCCTCACTGCCCCAGCTAGACCCCCTGGGCTGTGCCCCCTCCCCAAAGTGCTGCCGCTGGCTGATGGGTGCCCCCTCTTGCAGAGACACCTGCAGCCTACACCTGAGCCTGGCTTCTCCTGTGGCTCCACCTGCCTGAGGCCGATTCTCCTGTGACCTCCCGTCCCTGCAGATCCACTGGGCCTGGCTCCCTCAGCCCCTTCCCCAGAGGCCCGCCTGAGCCTGGCTTCCTTGGCCCTTCTCCACTTCCCTCACTGGTTCTCCGGATTCGATTGCTGGCACTTGCGTCTGGTCTCAGGATCCTGGAGTCTCAGGATCCAGCCTAAGAGCCTGCTACAAGGGAAGCCAACCCAAGATGGTTGGGGATTGGGGGGGAGATCTGCCTCTGGCCTCCCCTCTTGCCCAGCGTGTCTATCTCCAGCCAGGAGGGACTCTCCACTCTGAGTCCATCACTGCCCACTCACCACCTGCCCCTGGCTACCCTGAGTCAGGCATACATTCACCCCCCAGCTCTCCCCGGCCCGGCTCTCAGGTTAGCTCCTCTGCCTCCGGGAAGGCTTCCGTGAAGCCTGCAGTCTGGTGAGAGCCCCGGCTGTCTGTCCATCCTCCACCTAGGTGCTGAGCTCCCAGCATGGGGCCGGAACCGCTGTTCTAGAGGCTCCAGGACCCTCGGGCCTCCTTACCTGGCAGACGCAGGTGGTGCACTCATTGTCGCCCCCACTGAACACTGCACCGTCGGCGTACCACTGCCCCTGGAAATAGCACCTCACTGCAGGGACAGAAGAGCGACAGTTCAAGGTCTCTGAGCTGGGGCAGCCAACTGAGGGGGGGCGGGGGGCCTTGCACAGTTAGTATTCTCCCAGTGTGGCCCACACCACAGAACCCAAACCACTCCCCTGCTCCAAACTCAGTAAACCCCCACACCATCAAAGCAAACCACATGTAAAATGAGGCCTGCTACGGGTTGAATTCCAGGAACCCCGGTGGTGCTGTCTGATGAGTGGTGCACTGCTAATCACAAGGTCAGTGGTTCAAACCCACCAGCCGCTCCAAGAGAGATAAGCAAGGCTGTCTGTTCCCGTAAAGATTGACAGCCTCAGGAACCCTATATACGGTCACTAGGAGTTGGGATTGACTCGATGGCAGTGGGTGTAAGGCAGCAGTTCTTAACCTGTGGGTCTCAACCCCTTCGGGGGTCGAGTGACCCTTTCACAGGGGTCACCCAATTAATAACAATAGCAAAGTTACAGTTATGAAGTAGCAACAAAAACAAGTTTATGGTTGGGGGGGTCACCAGACCATGAGGAACTGTATAAAAGGGTCACAGCATTAGGAAGGTTGAGAGCCACTGGTTTAGGGGTTGAATTGTGCCCCTCACAAAAAAGAGCTGCTGAAATCCAAGCGTGGATGTGACCTTGTTTGGAAATGGGGTCTTTGAAGATGTTACTAGTTAACATGAGGGCGCACTGGAGTAGAACCCCACCCCCGACCCCCCAAAAAGAAAAGCCCTGGCACGGAGTTGATTCTGACTCAGAGCAGCCTACAGGACGAGGAGAACTGCACCTGTGGCTTCCGGGACTGTACAGCTTGATGGGAGCAGAGAGCCTCATCTTTTTCCCGTGGAGAAGCCGGTGGGCTTGAAATGCCGACCTTGTGGTGAGCAGCATCTCAATGCATAACCTCCTACACCACCACGTGGGTCCTAATCCATTATGGGAGGCCACTGGTCAAAAGAGGAGAGGGCAGAAAGAAGGCCCCGTGAAAACAGACGCCGAGCCGGGAGGGATGCTCCCGCAAGCCAAGGCATGCCCTGGGATCCTGGGAATGACCAGAAGCTGAGAGAGGAGGGAGGGGGTCTTCCCCTAAGCCTCACAGGGAGCGTGGTCCCGTGGTCCCGCGGTCCCGCGGCCGTCTTGATTTCTACTCCAGAACCAGAAGGCCATCAAGGTGTGGGCTTAAACCACCCAGTGGGTGGGGCTTTGGGGTGGCAGCCCTGGAGCTGATAAAACCCACTGCCTGTAAGCCAATTCCGAGTGACCATGTGGAGAGGGCAGAACTGGCCCCCACCCCCCACCTGGAAATCTTTTCAAGAGCAGAAAGCCTCATCTTTCCTCCACAGAGCTATCGGTGGGTTTGAACTGCTGACCTCGTGATAAGCAGCCCACTGTGTAACCATGACACCCCCAAGACTCCCTGGGAAGCGGATAACAGGCCCTTCACCAAAACGCAGGAGCGTCCTGCCTAAGGGAAGAGTTGGAGAAGAGAGGCACGCCCCAACCCTCAGGCAAACAACCAGGACCGATGCCATCCCTGGAGGGTACAGGACTTTGGTGAGAAAGCCCAAGACACCACCACTGTCCCAACAATTAAAAAGCACACTCAGGACCAGCGAGTTGCTTCCGACTCACAGCAAGCCTACGGACTGTCACTCTTCACAGGAGTGGAAAGCCTTGTCTTTCTCCCCGGGGGTGGCTGGTGGTTTCCAACTGCTGACCTTGTGGTTAGTCGTCCCGTGGGAAACCACTGCACCACCCACGCCCCACTAACGCCACCAGCTCTCCTCTCATCGAAACGCCATCTTATTATTATTTAAATAATAACAACGCCACATCTAAAAGTTAAGCTATATTAAGAACACCAGCTACAGAGCCATCAAGAGACAGCCGTCCGGGAGCCTGCATGACATCATGCTGAGCGCAGTACAGCCGGTCGCAAAAGGACAGATCCTGTACAAGTTCACTGGTGGGCCATTTGACAGCAACCAGGCTATCCATGTGTTGAGGGGTGGCAGGGATGGGGAGAAGGGCTGGGTGCTGCTGCGGGCTATGAGTTCCTGTGGACAGCGGGGGCAGGTGTTGGAAAGGGGTAGCAGTAACAGGTGACTGATGCACATGAGAAGCGGTTGTCTTGTTTGCGCACAGGTTTCTCCACTGTTAAATGGAGAAGGGGAACATCAGCTTCGAGACCAGGTTGCCCTAAATTCTGCCCTGCTACTGTCTGTGCATCTCTGAGCAGGAGAGTTGACATGGCTGAGCCTCCGTTTCCCCAGCAATCAAATGGGGTGGTGAATTGTACTTCAGGGCAGAGGGGCTCTGAGGAACAGCCACGCAGTGAGGTGGCCAAGCTGGGAAAGAGGGAGTCCTGCCTGCTGCAGCTGGGCGTGAACCTCTTGCTGCCCGAATGCTGCTGGACGGAGCCCAGTCTAGCTCCCCAACTGCTGTGCACACAGTAGGTACTCAGTACAAACTGGCCCTTTGAAATCTTTAACTCGCTCTGAGTTTCTGAAGCAGAAATCAATCACCTCCACTCACCCCACCCCCAGCACACGCTGGAAAGATGCCCCATCACCCCCACCCCAACACACACACACACACACACACACACACTTCCAGGCACACACACCTGGCACACAAGTACCTCTCTCACCTGGCACACAAGTACAGCAATCCGACTGTGGGGGGCTCTGGCAGGGGCCGGGAGGACACTTGGGGGAGATACAGGATACGTTCCCAGCCTGAGGAGAGGCAAGAGATGGCGCTGGGTGACGGAAGGAGGGAAGGGCTCTGCCGACCTCCAGGTTCATCTGGAATCTGCTTGCTCTATTTCACACCTCGCTTCAGGTTTCCAGTTCTGGATGTTGGCAGCCTAAAGAGGCCATCGGGGACCTCTAAAAGTCGCCGTGGTGACAAGCACAGTTTACGGGGACCCAGGTCTTCATGTCTGGTAGGCTGTGATTTCAGCCAGCCCCCTTCCCAAGATGCACGGCTCTGTGGGAAAGGGCAGGAGGGAGCAGAGTAAATGTGCTCCCTCCTGTAGGAATAGACCTGCCTAGCTAGTGGCGCAGTAGGTTACGTGCTGAGCTGTCCGAATCCACCAGTCACTCCACAGGAGGAAGACGAGACTGGTCCCATAAAGAGGCACCGTCTCAGAAACCCACCAAACAGTTCTACTATGACCGACGGGGTTGCTCTGAGTCAGAATCGACTCCGTGGTGTCCAGAGCTGTCCGTCCCCTGCCTTGGAGGCGTCAGGGAGGATGGAGGCATGGGAGGGCAGAGGTTACACCTGCAGGGAGGGAGACACACTGTATCTTCATGCGACTTGGAACCAGGGGCCCAGGTTGGCTACGAAAGACGGCAACTAAAGAGATCAACATTGTGAGGGCAAGCCACAACTAAAACCAAGATTTAACAGAACAAAAGAGCCAGGGGGTTGCAGTCTCTCAGACCCGAGACCCGGGGTCTGCCCCTCCGGTATGGACTTGGGTGCCTTGGGGCAACATAATCGTCTCTCTGAGCCTCAGTTTCCCCCTCTATGAGGTGGGCCGGTCACCCAGGAGAGCGCCTGCCCCTTGCCTGGCTTGCAGCCAGGGCTTCATTGGGAGGACGGAGCTGTCCGCCTCCCGGTCTGCGCAGCTCTCACCACCTGCTGCTGGGCCAGCAGCTGGTCAATGGAGCCTCAGCCAGACGGAGTTCAAATCCCAGCTTTGGCACCTGGAGCCTCAGGCTTCTGATCTGTGAACCAGCCCCTGCACAGAAGCCAGAGCGGGAGGTGCTGCCGCGTCTTGGTGCAGAAGCCAAAGCAAAGCACTGTGGCTGGCCTTCCCCTGGCTGGGTCCACACAGGCTGCTGTTGTCCTATCAGTGACCATCGAGTGGGCCCAGACTCTATGGGCTCAGTGGAAGGAAACGCAGCCTGGCCCCGCGCCGGCACCACCATCGGTCCCCACCAGGACTGTTGAGACGTGACAGGGTTGCACTGGCTGGCTTTCAGATGTAGATCACCAGGCCTCTCTTCCTTGTCTGCCTTCGTCTGCAAGCTCGGCAGAAACCCACTCGGCATCCAGCAACACACAAGCCTTCGTGGACAGATGGGTGGTGGCTGAGCCCGGGATGCACTGTCAGGAAACGAAGCAGATCTTCCCACCTCGAGGTGGGGAATCCAGCCCTGAGCCAACCTGCGCTGCCTCACTGTCCACACCCGGCTATTTGTATCATCAGGGACCACTAGGTCCTTTCCGATTCCCAGGGACAACCCGAAACACCACAGAACACAACAATGCCGGGCCCTGCGCCCACCCGCCACCCTGGAGCCCCTGCTGGCAACCACTGTGCCACACTCCATGTCACGGAGGGTCTTCCTCTTTATCGCTGACTTTACCAAGCACGGGGCCTTTCTCTAGGGACTGGCCCTGCCTGAGGAGCTGTCCAAAGCACCCAAGACACAGTCTGGCCTTCACAAACCCCCCACGTCCAGTCCATGCTGCCTCTTAAGGACCCCACACAGGGCGTCTGAGACGGGAAGCCTCGCCTTTCTCCCGCATCCGCACAGACCCCAAAACACACAGCCATGGATCGTCCACGAGATGGGGGGACAAACATGCCCGATCAAAAGAGCTTACTGCCATCAGGTCAACGCCGACTCACAGCGACCCTACAGGGCCAGGCTGAACCGCCCCCGTGGGCTTCTGAGGCAGTAACTCTTGACATATGCAGGAAGCCTTGTCCTGTTCCCTCGGAGCGGCTGGGGTTTCAAACTGTTGACCCTGTGGTTAGCAGGCCCGGGGAGTAACCATCACGCCACCAGGGTTCCCGCTTCTGCACATAAACTCAAAAGACTCACTGCCATTGGGTCAATGCCAACTCATAGCGACCCTGGAAGGGCAGGCTTGAACTGCCCCTGTGGGTTTCCCAGACTGGAGCCCAGGGGGCGTCGTGCTTACGAGCTGGGCCGCGATCCGAAAGGTCCCACAGTTGGAAACCACCACTGCTCCTCAGGAGACAGATGGGCTTTTTATTCTGGTGAGGCGTGTCAGCCTCCTCTGCACACAGTACGGACTTAATGCCTGATCAGCTTCAAACAAGCTGATCTGGATCCGACGGTGAGTCCTCGCTCACCCTCCCAGCTGCTCTCTCACTCCCGTCCACTGCCATCGAGTCCATCCCACTCCCAGTGGCCTGCAGGATAAGGTGGAACCGCCCCTGTGGGTTTCCGAGACTGTAACTCTTTGCGAAGCGGCTGGTGGTTTCGAACTGCTGACCTTGGAGCGAGTAACCATATGCCACCAGGCTCCATTCCTCCCGGCTGCAGGTGCCGTTACTGTACTGGCAAAAGTTTTGTCTGGAGAGACAAACAGCCCCCTGTCGGCGGGCGGTTTCTGAGGGATTGCCTCCACCCCTCCACCCCGGGATCCCTGGAAGCACAGACGGGCCCTGTTTGCCTGTTTGCTCTCAGCCGCTCAGCACGAGCTCCAGAGATCTAGCGGTTTGACATTTCCCTAGGCCTTTAGATCTGAAAGGTCCTGATCAAAGGTCACGCCGCATGACGTGGACCCCCGCTGACTGAGCACACCGCCCTTGGCCACATACACCCCCAAAGGTTAAGGACACACCCAGAGATCCTGAGGGCGGCTCACCAGGCAGACGCAGACCGTGCAGTTGGTGCTGGACGGAGAAAACACGTCGCCCTCCTCTCGGACGATGCCACCATGCAAACAGCCTTTGGAAGACAAACAGGAGGGGGAGGGCAGCTCAGGACTCTTCAGAGGACCCTGGACCCTTCCCTCCCTTCCCTCCCCTCTGCAAGGGGGTGGCCCTGGAAGAGTGGGCCTCGGGATGCGTAAAGCCCCAGGGCTGGCTCCTCGCTGTCCTGGGCTTGGCTCAGCCAAGCTTCCCTGGGGCTCCCTGGAAGGGAAAGCCCCCCGTTTATTCTCCCCCACACCCAGCTCCCTCGTGGTGTTTATCGATTTGGTTTGAGATGAACTTGTTTGTCCCTAAAGACTCCTCGTCCATTTCTGTTTTAAGTTTGAGTGATAGGAATCTGACTTTGGGGGGGGGTGGGTTTAAAGAAACAGATATTTCATATATATGCTCAAGAAATGAAATCAAGACAAATCTCCCATTAAACCCTCCGTATATGTGGTTCTTCCCCCATAACCTGTCTCTCCTCCCTCACCCCTCAATAGCCTCCTCCTTCCCTCTCCTGGTGCCCACCCCTGTCCCTGGTCTCCTCCTACTCATCAGCGTTGTGTCAATTGGGGCATACACTACGTTGCCTCGCGTGAAGCTACGCTGTCATTAAACACTCATCTTTGTGACTGACTGAGTTGGGAAGCATCCTGCTGTCTAGCTTCGGCCGTGGCTGGCGGTGTTGAAGAGCGCTGTCCTTGGGTTTTACTGGTGTGCTATCTTCCACAGGACGCATGTACCAGAGCGTGTTCATCCATCCCTCTCCCGTTGGGGTTTTGGCTTGTTTCCACGTTTCGGCCACTATGGAAATGGCTGCAGGAACCACAGGTGCGATGTTCCCTCGTGGGGCTTACAGGAGCGTGCGATGACACAGAGCTTGTCTGTTCCCGGATGCACCCTCCCTCCCCTCTTGGAGTCTGGGTGGCTCCCAAGACGAGCCCCCTCGGGCCAAGCAGACAGCACTGCCCCCGCCCTATGGAGGACGGGCTTCAAACGCTTTGACGCTCTGCAACTTGGTGACTCCTGTCTATCTGGGAGACCATTGTCTGTCCTGTCTTATTCAGACGCTTGCCACAGCCAGGGCTTGGCCCGCCACCGCTACTCAGCTGTCCCCGCCATAGGTCCCACCGCCCACCAGCCAAGCTTCCTGCCTTCTCCACTGAGGCCGGGCCACTTCCTCTCCCTGCAGGTCTGTTTGGGCAGCGTCCCCTCAGGGAAGTTTCTCCAGGGCTATAAGCACCCACCACTCCTGGGTTCACTCACCACCACCTCCAGCCCCGCAACACCAGAGCAGCCCTCCTGCCCCACCTGTCAGCTTGCCCATCAGACCGGAGGAGACTGTGCTTCGTCTCAACCGAACCCACATGACCCGGTCTGTTCCTACCCTGTGTTCCCGTTGAACCGGCCCCAGGCTCCTGCACAGCCGAATGAGACGCTGGTCAGCCTGATGCTCTGCTCAGCACAGGCCACAGACAGAGCCATGGGACCCTTAGGGCTTTCGTTGGCTAGTGTTCATCTTTCCTTCTCATTCGGAAGTTCACAGCAACCAGCACGCATCCAGAACGGACAGTGGAAGCTACACTAGAGTGCCTCCACTGGGACTCGAACCCACTCCCCTCGAGGCTGTTCCTCCTCTCAGTGAGCCTTTCAAACAGACTAGAACTGCTCCTCGGGGCTTCTGAGACTGCCAGTCTTTAGAAGAGCAGACAGCCTCCTCTCCTCGCAGAGTGGCTGGTAGCTTTGAACTACTAACCTGGTGGTCAGCCCAACACTGAACCCACCCCACCACCAGAGCTTCTTCGCCTACCTCACTGCCATCCAGTCAATTCTGACCCACAGCGACCCTGTAGGACAGAGCAGAACTGCGCTGCGGGTTCCCAAGATGGCAAATCTTTACAGCCGTAGAAAGGCTCCTCTTTCCACGAGCCACCGGCAGGTGGGTTTGAACTGCTGACCTTGTGGTTGGCAGCCCAACGTGTAACCTACCACGCCATCAGGGCTCCTACCCACAGCCTATACAGACACTTAACAAAATGTCACGCATGTGTTCAGGAACTACCGGATGCCAACCACTGTGTCCTGGGATGCCCATCTCCCCTCCCAGTGCATCCCGCACAATGACTGCAGGAATGGCGTCCGTCCGTGAGGCTGCCTGTCCACTCCCACTGCCAGCAGTGAGGGACAAAGGAAGTAGATGGGGGTGAATCGGAGAAGCAGACAGGATTCAGGAGGTAAGGGGCTAGGCTGGTGTGGGGGATTTGGAATGAGTCATTGGATGGGTGGGTGGGTGGGTGGAAGGATGGAGCTAGGACAGAATCTTCCGAAAAGGAAGCTCCCTTTGAAGGCTCTCTCAGCACTGACCAAACCCCACTGCCCTCAACTCTATTCTGACTCAGACCAACCCGATGGGCCAGAACGGAACCAGGCAACCTCGTCTTGCTCCTGAAGAGCAGCTGATGGGTTTGAACTACCAACCTTTCAGTAAGCCACCAAGTGCTCACCAGTGCCTCTTTGGGAACAAGTAGTTCCCAAAGTGTGGTCACTCCTCCACACACAAACCTCTCCCCCACCAGCATTAACAGCATCACCCGTTCACCACCATGAACTTGTTAAAATGCAGAAAGCCTGGGGGTGGGGCCCAGCCAGCCATGGTTTAACCAGCCCTGAGCCCAACCAGCCAGGGGCCCCCCAGTGAAGCAGGGCAGCCCTTCCTCCACTAGCTCTCACCTGTGCAAGCTGGGCAGCAGCCCCCATCTCTGGCAGGAATCGGGTGGGAACAGGGAGTGTCACAGGTCACCTTCCCACAGACCACCTCTCCGTCCTGGAAGCAGAAGCGAGAGTCAAGGCCAGACTGTGGCCAAGGTTCAGACCAGGGCAGTTGGGCCCCACCCTGCCCCTGCCCCCGCACCCACCTTGCACCAGCACTGGGTACACCCAGGCTCTGTCCAGCGACTCCCGGCCTCGTGCAGAGCTCCCTGGTGCCGGCAGGGAGCAGGACCTGGAGCCAGCTTGTCGCCAGCCTTGGGGCCCCGGGGCAGAAAAGGAGTCACCCCCACTTCTCCCTGGAGGAGGGAGGGAGGCCTGAGGCTCCCCAACAGGGAGGCATTGGGCACCGGGGTGGCCATTGGAGTGGAAAGCAGCTGGGTCGGGGTAGGAGGGGAGGCCGTGGGCAGTCCCGGGGTGGAAGGCGGCAGGCAGGTGGTCCTGACTCCGGCTGGGGACCCTGGTGCCCCTGGAGATGGGCTATGTCCTGGGGAGAGTGCCCGCTGGCTAGCGTCTGGCAGCAGCAGGAGCATCTTGGGAGGGTGCTGCAGGGGCTGCAAGATGGCAGAAGGAGCCAGCACGGCTTTCGGGAAGGCTGAAACAGAACAGGGAGGCTCTAGACCTCAGCTCCACACCACCAGTCCCCGAAGGGGCCTGGCACCCGGGAGCTGTGGTGCCTGTTTCCAGAGAGGACAGACAGGGCAGGAGGGGCCACGATGCTGCTGGGGCCCCCAGCAACTCCAGATGGGCTCCTCCCAAGCCACCGGGAGACACCAGCTTTCCCAAGCTACCACCAGGAAGGTCCCGCCCCTTCTCCTGTCCCTAGTGTGGCCTCTGTGGAGGGACAAGCCAGGGACTCTCCAGACCCATGGCAGAGAGGTCAGCTTCCAGCCAGCCGTGTGCCCTCATGTGCAGGTGCACACACACTCACTCTCATACTCACACACTCTCCCACGCTCAACTTCACACACATGCATGCACACGTTCTCAAATACAGTCACACTCACACTGTCATGTTCACTCTTACACACTCAAAAGCATAGTTACCCAAAGTCACACTCATTCTCACACACACTCACACTCCAATTCACACATACAAACACACACTTTCTCCATCACACTCAGTCACACTCACACCCTGACACCCACTCAAATTCACACTCACACACTCAAAAATCATACACAAATACGCACACACTCATGCTCACACTTACACACACTCACACACACATGCACACTCAGGAACAGGAAAGGCATTTTCCTCTCTGGATGGACACCTGCAGTGAGAAAACCTCACTGAATGAATGAACAGATCCAAACAAAACCACACCCACTGCCAGCAGTCAGCCCTGTAAGACAAAGGGAAACCACTCGTTGGCATTTCCAAGGCTGTAAGCCTTCAGGGGAGCTGACAGCCTCGTCTTTCTCCTTGGGGCATCTGGTGGGTTTGAACTAGTGACCTGTGGTTTGGAATGGAAGCCCACACAACTAGGCCTCCTATAACTCTGTCTTCCTTGCCTCTTCCCAGTCCCGTCCCCCACCACTAACCACTAATCTAGAGATTCTAGAGATTTTTAATAAGTGGGGTCATATTTGTGCGTTTAATATTTGATTTCATTTAGCACACTCTCTTCTAGGTCCGTGCATGGGAGGCATGTGGAGAACCTCATGTTCCTTCCTGGGTGAATCCGCCTCCACTGAACACGTGGCAGACTTGGGGATATCGTGGCGTGGGTGCAGACCAGGGCATTAAGCTTACACAAGCCTTGCTTACACTCCACTGTTGCCTGTGAAGAGCAAGATGTCGTGAAAATGATGCCCCCCCCACGCACACACCCCAAGTGGGCACGCCCCCAATGTGGGAAATAGGAGGCGGACAGACCTTCCATTGGTCAAACACGTGTTATCTGCGAAGCGCTGCCTGCTGTAAAGCCCAGCAGGCCTGCTTAGTGTCTCTCCTAGACCCAGCTCTGTGTGTGTGTATGTGCGTGTGTACGTTTGGCCGTCATGAGTATTGGGGTTCATGGGTGTGCCTAGGAGCTGCAGTGCGGGCTCCTGTGGTAATGCTGTTGAACCTTCTGGGGACCACGGTGGAGGCCTCCTTCCCGGGGTCCAGCCAACTGGGAGAACTTCGTCACACCCTCCTCCTCCATTCTGCTTGTTTAAACAAGTGTTTTACGGTGAGGTGAGGGTGCGGAGACAGGGACGGGGAAATGGGATAAAGCGGCCGGGGATGATGAATGGATGAAGAATAGAAGGAGAAAGGGAGGCAAGGTGGGGTCCACAGTTAGGGGTAAGGGCCACCGCTTAAAGGGCAGGGTCTGGCTTTTGGAGGATGGGGTGAAGACTGGGTAGGCGGGGCCTGGTGTTGGGTGCGTGGGGCCTGGTTATTAGAGGGTGAGGTTAATGTTGGGTGGGCTCTGATCACTGGAGCATGAACTTGGGTGGGTGGAGTCCTGTGTTCTGAGAGCCCTGATGTGGAGTGGGCAGGACCTAGTGCTGAGAGGGCGTGGCCTGTGCTGGAAGGGTGGGGTCCGGCACTCACCTTCACAGGACATGCGGTCAGCTCGGAGCCGGAAGCCGGGTCGGCAGGTGCACAGAAAGCTGCCCACAGTGTTGTGACAAGAATGGTGACAGACTCTCCCGGCCAGCGGCCTCCGACACTCGTTTACGTCTGCAAGAGAGCCTCGCTTACACCACCTGGACAGCCTGGCCCTTCTCGCACCGGTGGCCCAGAGGCCCGGAGTTGCAGGCTAAGGGGCAGGTCTTGGTCCAAGGTGGAGGAGGTGGCTTGCTTGTCTGGCTTGTCTCGGAGCATGAGCGCTGGCCCCTTTGGAGTGAGCCCGCATCAGATCAGCAGGCACCGGATGCCCGGTGGCCAGGGTACAGCCCCACCACCCAGTGCCTTACCAAGTGCTGGCTCCGAGCCCGCCAAGCCTCCTCTGCCAGGCTCCCACCGCCCCACCTGTCTAGCTCGGGGGGAAGAGGCTCCAGCGTCATGAAGCAGGCTTCAAAACAAACTGCCTCTACTAGAACAAGGTCTTTCTTCAGGCCCAAGGGACCCCACCTTTCCACTCATGAGCCAAGTTCAAGTCAAACATGCCACTTCCTTTCTGGAAATTTCTGCTAATGGGTGAGGAAACAGGGGGTGCCTTCTACACTGGAGCATCCACGACATAACGTACTTTATTTACCATAACGTACTTTATTTACCAAGAAAGTGGGTGAGCAGAGAGGACCCCCTGGGGTGGATGAGGGCATCCAGGGATGAAAGGGACGTGTGGTCAGAGAAGTCCAGGGCAGGGGACAGCGTGGTGACCCTTCCCTGTCCCTGCACACACCGTGAGCCTCCAGAGCCTTACCTACCTACGCAGGAGTGCCGGTTGCCATGGAGATGGAAGCCCGGTCTACAGGAGCACCTGTAGCTGCCGATGCTGTTTCTGCACCGCTGCTGACAGGGTGTTCTCAGGCATTCGTTGGTGTCTGGAAGGGACAGAGACCAGGCTGCGGCCACTCCCAACAGAGTCAGGGAACATGTGATCCCTGCCAGCTCTCTTATCACCATCAGCGACTGTGGTCAGGGTTGGGGGCAGGGGGGGGCTTGGGGGGGCCCATCAAGTGTAGCATAGGCCCCCCTCTCCACCCGGCCCATAGGCAGCTTGTTGTCATCCTGTTCCACCAAAGAATTCGGACCCGCTGGAAGCCGACAAGGCAGAGAACGGGTCCCACCAGGTCCATTAGCCTCAGGTGGTGGGGTGGGGGTGTTGAACATCTGAGCCAGCCCACTTCTTGCCATCCTGAACCACATTTGCCTCCGGTCCAGAGCCTCCTTGGGGGTCCCCTGACTTCACTCATGCCCTGACCAAGCCATCTTCTACACAGCACCTTCTGATCAGAGGCCACACTAACCAGGCCTCTGCTTCCTCAAAGCCCCTCCATGTTTTACTCGTGGCCCTGGGACAAGGTACCTTGTCCTCCCTGCCCCTCACCTTCCCTCTGGCTCAAATGTTTGCTCTCTTCCAAAGGCCCCAGCTCTTAGAGTCCCCCCACCATCTACCACTACCACCTCCCTCCCAGCTCCACACCCATATTCTCTCCTATCTGCCTTCCTGGAAGGCCACTGCCCCGCGTGTGGCTGGCTGGAAGACTCCTGCCTCCAAGGCTCTTCCTCTGTGTACGTTTCACATGCTGCTGCTTAAGCTTGTGCACAACTGTAAGAGGAACAGTGCCCATGGTCACCACCCAGCCCGGCGGACCATGGAGGGGACGTCTGCACGGCAGCTGTATAAAAGAACAAGGCACTGAGATCCGACAATGCAGAGACTTTCAAGACACGTGGCTGCGGTGTGGGTGGGGCCACTAAGAGAGACGCCTGGCACCAAATGCCAGCTCAAGTGTGGTCCTGGATAAGACCGTTTCTTTATGCCTCCGTTTCCTATCAGGAAATGAAAATGAAGAGTACCAACATCCTAGGGTCCTTCTGAAGAACTGGGCAAAGACTAGATCGCTATACCTATGAAGTGTGTAACACGGTGCCCAAAACACAGGTGCTCTAGTCTCCTCTCTGCCAGCGAGGATGGAGGGGCCGCGGAAAAGAGGAAGACCTCGACAAGATGGATGTTCCAGATGCCAAGCACAGAAAACCCAAAGCCCACCCACTGCCCCTCACAGCACCCAGGGCAGAGCTGCTCCACAGGGAGTCCTAGTGGCACTGCTGGGTAAGCGCTGTAGCGCCAACCACAAGGGCGGTGGTTTAAACTTCCCAGGAGAAAGTTGAGGCGATCCGTTCTGTAAAGATTCACAGCTGTGGAACGCCCCACTCCCCTCGCCCCCAAAGGGTCGCTCTGTGTCAACTCAGTAGCATGGAGCCAGTTAGAACGGCTCATAGGTTTCTAAGGCTGTAAATCTTTAGGGAAACACGGGCCCATATGGAGGGTTGGAAACCCCAACCCTTTGGATAGCAGGTGGCACAGTGGTTGCACCAATGGGTTCAAACATCAGAACGATTGTGAGGATGGCGCAGGACGGTGCAGGGTTCCGTGCTGTTGTGTATCGGGTCACTATGAATCGGAACTGAAAGCACCTAACAACAACAACAAACACAGATGGCCAGGAGCCCTGGTGGCAGAGCGGATAAGCGTTGGGCTACTTACCTCAAAGTCAGCAGTTTGAAACCACCAGCCTCTCAGCAGGAGACGGGGCTTGCTACTCCCACAAAGAGTGACTGTCTCGGAAACTCACAGGGGCAGTGCTACCCTGTCCTCTAAGGTCACTGCGAGCCAATTCAATGGCAGTGAGTCTTTTCGTCTTGTTTTGAAGCATGTGTGAGCGGTTAATACGATGCAATGATAACACCTGGTCCAGGCCAGGGTATTTTCGATCACTTCGTGGGCAGGTGAAGGTTAGACATTGAACAAGGAAGACCAAAGAAGAACCGATGCGTTTGAAATGGAACGTATCGCGGGCTGCCAAACGAATAAACAAATCTGTCTTGGAAAAAGTCCGGCCAGACTGGTCCTCAGAGACAAGGATGGAGAGATTTTGTCTTCACGAACTTTGGACGTGTGATCAGGAGAGCCCTCAACAACTAGGTCAGGGTAGAACCACCCGGTGGGTTTCTGACCCTGCTAACTGCTGTGGGGTCAGCGGCCTAACGTACAAGTCACTACGCCACCAGAGCCCCTCCTCAAAGGGGGCGGTCCCTGCAGAAGGACATCCTGCTTGGCAAGCACAGGGGTCACGGCGAGAGGGAGGGACACCGAGGCTGCAGCAATGGGCTCCAACATAGGAAGAACAGGGCGGCCGGCGCAGGGCACGGCGGCACCTTACTGAGGATGGCAAGTGCACACGTGTGCACGCGGGTGCCATGAAAATGCATACACCTGGCTCTCCCTTCTCTTCTTCGGCGCTGCCCACGGAGGAGGCAGCTATCTCCCACCGGCATCATGGCTGCCCTCAGACCCTTGGTGAAGCCTAAAATTGTAAAAAAGAGGACCAAGAAGTTCATCCGGCACCAATCCGACCGCTATGTCAAGATTAAGCGCAACTGGCGTAAGCCCAGAGGCATTGACAACAGGGTGCGGAGAAGATTCAAGGGCCAGATCTTGATGCCCAACATTGGTTATGGGAGCAACAAGAAAACCAAGCACATGCTGCCCAGTGGCTTCCGCAAGTTCCTGGTCCACACGTCAAGGAGCTGGAAGTGCTGCTGATGTGCAACAAGTCTTACTGTGCAGAGATTGCTCACCACGTTTCCTCCAAGAATCGCAAAGCCATTGTAGAAAGGGCAGCCCAGCTGGCCATCAGAGTCACCAATCCCAACGCCAGGCTGCGCAGCGAAGAAAATGAGTAGATGGCCCATTTGCAAGTTTTATTTGTGCTAAATAAAACCATAAATGGGAGGGAGAAAAAAAAAAGAAAATGCATACACCTGATAACCAGGGAGAGCCCGGCGTGCCCGCAGCCATCGCCACAACTCTCCTTAAAGACAGCTCTTGTCATTTACGAAAAATCACAACCCAGGAGAATATAAAACAAATAGCCTTCCAACCTGGAACTGAACCCACCCTGGGGTGGCAGGCACCTTGCAGCCACACATCGGACAGGCCTATGAAGTGCATAAAAACCACTCGTGCAACACGTAGGGCACGAGATCTAAAGGGCAGCATCTGCCCCAAGGCGACACTGGAGAAGCAGGAAAGGGCGGGCTGACTCGGGAGCCAGGGAGGAAGGGGGGGGAGTGCTGTTCCCTAGAGAAGATTGAAAGGGGTCTGAAACCAAACGGTTAGCAAGTGGAGCGTGGAAAACGAGTGTGCCCTGCACACCCAGACCGCACTTTAACAAACAAGACTCTTAACAGGACAGGGCCAAGGAGGTCCCTGGCCTCGTTTAAATGAGAAGCTCTACCAAGCTAGCTTAGGAAGACAAGGCCAACCTACTTGGTAAAGTAGAAAAGAAAAAACAACAACAACCAACGAACTAGAAGAACTCACTGCCATCGGGTGGATGCTGACCCTAGAGGACAGGGTAGAACGGCCCCGGAGGATTTCTGAGACTGTAACTCTTTATAGGAGTAGAAAGCTCCATCTTTCTCCCAGGGAGCAGCTGGTGGTTTTGAACTGCTGACCTTGAGCCTAGTAGCCCACCATATAACCACTACGCCATCAGGGTTCCCCACCCAAAAGAGGAAGCGCCTCAGTGAGGTGGGTGGCCACAGCAGCTGCAACAATGGGCTCAACCACACGCACTGTGAGGATGGTGCAGGGCCAGCACGGTGGTGTGCCTGGGGCACTGGGCCACAGCAGGAAGGCTGAGGGGTGATGGTCAGAAACCCTGCTCTCTCACACGACGCCCTGGGAAGGCAAGTTCCCTTCTGGTCCCTGAATTCCCTCAACACTCCTAAAGCATCCCAGCCTTTCCATCCTGCCTCCCAACCTTTTCCTTCCTCTCCCCAGCAGACGAGGGTGCCCTCCTCCCACCCCATGTGCCTCTAGAACATGGGGCGCCACCATGGAAGATATGAAGGCAGTGAATGAAAGACGCGATCACAGTAGGCCCCTCCCTCTGCCCCTCTGGACCTGTTCACACCCCTCCGCCCCCTCTCCCCTGGCTCTTCCTCTCTCCCTACCCCACCACCCTGCAATAGCAGCAGCAGGTTCCGGGGCTCCAAATCCTGGCTCCTCCATGCACTGACAGAACAGCCTGGGCCAGCCTTGCTGTCTTCATGTTAAAATGGGGGTGATGGAGGGGAGACCGGGTGATGCTGACGTCCAGGAGTGGGGGCGGCAGCCTCAGCCTCACCCTCACCCCCTCCCCCGGCCCCAGAGCTGCTCTCCAGCTGTACCCTGCCCACTCACCTTGGCAGCTGTGGCGGTCGGCAGACAGCTGCATGCCGGGCCCACACTCGCACACAAACCCGCCCTCTGTATTCACGCAGTGGCCCTCGCAGGAGGCACTCAAGCACTCGTCGATGTCTGCGGAGAGAGCAAGGACACTCGCACAGCGCTCCGAACCGGCCAGAGACGCCACCGAGACACGGGGAGGAGACAGACCCCACGCAGAGGGGGCGTCCAGTCTGGAAGGGCAGACCACGCACAGAGACAGCTAGCCTCTCGTGAGACCCCAGGCCAACTTGGAACACACAGGGCAGCCCCACCTGTAGGAAGGCTGATGCTCTCATCCACAAGTAACACGCCCCCCAACCCCCCCACCACCACCAAAAAAGTTTCCCAAGCACCGGCTGTGGGCATGAGGCTTGGAGAAGGGTCCCAAGACACAGCCCTGACTCTCTGAATGTTGACAGTCTGATAGCAAGCAAGGCAGACACACACCCCAGGGAGGCAATGTCACAACGTGGGACGACTCGTGCCCCATTGGGCCTGTCTGTCTACACACACACATGCAGCAGGGGCTGGGGTACCAGCAGGGATCAAGGGAAGGGACCATGCAAGTAGAGAAAGGTGGGGGAGTGCACCCAGGCTCTTTGGGAGGTGACAAGTCTGGTGAAAGTTCCTAGAGAGAGGGGTTAAGACTCCCTACACACACACACACACACACACACACACACCACACCACCCCGGCAGTGGAGTACCCTTGGACTAGTGGTTCTCAACCTTCCTAATGCCACCGTAAGATTATTTTTGTTGCTACTTCATCACTGTCATTTTGCTACTGTTATGAATCGTCATGTACATATCTGATATGCAGGATATATTTTCATGGTTACAAATGGAAGGAACATCATTAAACAGAATTAAAGCATAGTGATTAATCACAAAACAATATGTAATGATATACTGCGAAACATTTATGTGTTTTCCGGTGGTCTTAGACGACCCCTGTGAAAGGGTCATTGACCCCCAAAGGGGTCGCAACCCACAGGTTGGGAACCGCTGCCTTGGATGGTACCAACGTTGTTTTCAAATGTTCTCAGCTGCCCGCGTGAGCTCGGAAGTTCAGTCAGCCAGAAGTGCCTCTGAAGAAAGTCCTGCAGACTGTCTGCAAAATGAGCCACTGAGCACCCTACGGCCCGTTTGACCCGGACACACCCCGGCCGCCATGGTCGTCAGAGATCGGCCGGCTTTTCGGGGTGCTCTGAAAGTCAGGTGGAGGTCACCTGACTTGGTGTTGAGAGCTCCACAGAGAGGGGTAGTTCTTTTCTGTCCTATCGGGTCTGGCTCTGAGTCAGGGGATGACGTGTGTGTGTGTGTGTGTGTGTGTGTGTGTGTGTGTGTG